CCTGGTTCCCATTATTTCCAATGGGCCTTCAAGCGTCTCCCATTGTTTCCAGTGGGCAATCCTGTCCTTCCTTTTAGTACATCCGTTTTAGTACATCCCCTCTGAGACTCGTTCAGGTAGTGAAGGGCAGGGTATAAATCCAATCTCCTTCTCCTCTTCTCACCACCACCCCCATGCAGTAAATTCAGCCTAGGTCTCGCAATGAGCTCTGAGCAAAAATTCTACTCTGTAAACTACTGGCATTAACGTAGTGAGCAGGAGATTTGGCTGCTGCATAAATTAGTTTGCTTTGGAGCCCTCCTTTCTGAGCTAAGAAAAAATGTGTGAGCCGGAGGCTAAAGAACTGTGAGCTAGCTCACACCAATTTAGCTTAGAGGGAACACTGGTCTCAGGGCTGTCCTGAGGTTTAGAATACCACCTTAAATTCCTTGGGGGGGTGGGAACCTGGACTACAAATAAGTAAGGCAACAGGAGAAGAGTTTTAATTCTTAAGAAGTCCCAGCAGCTCATGTTGGAAGGCGATCTCGCGCGACTTTTGAATAGATGCGTTACAAAAAACAAAAGGAAACCAACCAATGTGGTCGGTGTTTTTCTTAGAGTCGCAAAAGATTGTTTTGGATCGTTTTGATGGCCAGGGCTCTTGGGCTTCGTCGTTTGGAAAGGCCGTCTTCTGAGTCCAGCGGAGAAGGTTGCATTTGCCAAATAAGAAGAACATGAAGTTTCCTTCCAGCTGCGATCCCTGGAAAGACCGAGGCAGAGTCCAAACTTGTCCCGCGGGGAGAATGCATTTTGCAAGCGCACCAATCCGGCGTCCTCAAACGGGCCTTGGTTTAGGAGGCGGGGCGGGGCCTCCCCTATAAAAGCCGCTCCGCAGCTCCTCGCCGCGCGTTGGTTTTCCTCTGCGTGCCGCGATGGCTCATCAGCTGCGCTGCCGCTCCGTGCTCATCACCGGCTCCAGCCGGGGCATCGGACTGGGCCTGGTCCGGGGGCTCCTGGCCGCCTGCCCCGCGCCCGACTTCGTCTTCGCCACCTGCCGCTACCCGGAGAAGGCGCAGGTAGGTTGGGAAGACCCCCCAGTCCCGACGCCTCTTTTGCTGCGCAGCTTCTCGCCGGGCGGAAAGGCGTTGCGGTTGGCCCCCCCTAATAGTGCAGCTCCCGGCGCCTAGACCAATGCTCCTTCTGAGCTGTGGACTCTTGTGCAATGTTCCCTCTAAGCTGTGGACTCTTGTGAGCAATAATTCTACTTTGTGAGCTCCTGGCATTAAAGTTGTGAGCGACTGATTTGGCTGCTGCATCAATTAGTTTGCTCTGGAGCCCTCCTTCCTGAGCGGAGACAAAAATCTGTGAGCTGGAGGCTAAAAAACTGTGAGCCAGCTCACACTGACTCAGCTTAGAGGGAACCCTGGTCTTGTGAGCAAAAATTCTACTTGGTGAGCATCTGGCGTTAAAGCTGGG